ACCATTTCGAGTTGGGTCCAACTAGAAGTGGGGGTCATTATTATAGCTTCTCGCTTTAAGTGGACTCACACTGATATGGGGTACATCACTAGATATGCCTAAGTGGAACTGTATTCCTATGCCTTGTCACTTGATTATCTCGACATGGTATGTCGCTAGGTCGCTCCTAGCCGTCGCGCTTCTGCCTAGGTACTCTCGCCCTCCCACTGCCCAAGCTTACACTTTAGCCTAGACTAGGACCGAGGCTCCTGCGCTCGCTAGTGCCCTAGCTCACGCCTCCCGCCCTATGCTGCCACTTCGCCTCCTCGCTGCCCCACTAGCTCGCCACCAGCTCGCTGCCCACGCCCTGCCATGAGCACGCCGCCCGCCCGCTACCAGCGCCTTGCCGCTGCCAGCGCGCCGCTCGCTGCCGCGATAGCTCGCCTGCCGCTCGCGGCCACCTACCGCCGCCAGCTCACTGCTTCCGCCAGCAGCTCACTGCCGCTCGCCAGCAGTTCGCTGTCAGCAGGGCCTGGCAGCAGTTCGCCACCAGCAGCGCCTGCCAGCTAGCCGCCAGCAGCGCCTGCCAGCTCGCCGCCAGCAGCACCTGCCAGTTCGCCGCCAGCAGCGCCTGCCAGCTAGCGGCCAGCAGCACCTGCCAGCTTGCTGCCAACAGTGCCTGCCAGCTCGTTGCCAACAGCGCCTGCCAGCTCGCCGCCAGCAGCGTCTGCCAGCTAGCCGCCAGCAGCGCCTGCCAGCTCGTCGCCAGCAGCGCCTGCCAGCTAGCCATCAACAGCGCCTGCCAGCTCGCCGCCAGAAGTGCCTGCCAGCTCGCCGCCAGCAGTGTAACGCCTCGCTACCCACTGGGTCAAAACGAGGTTACCCAGAGGCGCAGCGGAATGTGTTTACAATCTCTAGGGTAATTTCCCTCGCAGACGTTACACTCGTCCCCCCCTGGTGCCAACGTCCTCGTTGGTTTCCAGGGAGTCGGCCCTCGCAAGGACCTCGCACAATTCGCTGAAGGGCAGCAGCGACTTCGCTCGTGGGCAAGGCCAGCGGCTAGGATCGTTCGCGACTGGATACAATCGCAGCTGTATTTTTCGCACATTCGAGTTCTCGCCACAACCTCAGCCATGCGCGGAAACTGTGTCCATCCGGGATTCGAACCCTAAGCTCTGGTACCAGTGCAACGCCTCGCTACCCACTGGGTCAAAATGAGGTTACGCAGAGGCACAGCAGAATGCATTTACAATCTCTAGGGTAATTTCCGTCCGCAGACGTTACAAGCAGCGCCTGCCCGCTAGCCGCCAGCAGCGCCTACCAGCTAGCCGCCAGCAGCGACTGCCAGTTCACCGCCAGCAGCACGCTGCAAGCTCGCCGCCAGCAGGACACTGCCAGCTCGCCGCCAGCAGCTCGCTCGCACCTAGCCATCGCCAGCCCACTGCTGCCGGCCTGCCACTTGCTGCCCCTGCCTCTATCACCGGCCTGCTCGCCGCTGCCGCCGTCGCTGGCCTCCCGCAGTCTGCCACCGGCCTGCCGCAACTGCAGGCCTACCGCTGCTGCCGCCGGCCTGCTGCTGCCGCTGCCAGCCTGCCACTGCCGCTGCTACTGGCCTGCTGGCCTGCCACTGCTGCTGCCAGCCTGCTGCCTACCGCCAGCCTGCAAGCCTGCCGCCGACCGGCCCACTAGTCCCTCGCTGCTGCCTGCCGCCCACTGCCGCTGCCGCCCGCTGCTGCCCTTGCCACTGCCGCTCCCTAGCAGCCCGCGCGCGCCTGTTTACTGCCCACTGCTGCTGCCCACTGCGCGCTCCCTGCCGCTCACTGCCCGCCCCGCAGCCAGCCGGCTGCCAACTGCCAGCCAGCCGCCAGCCAGCCGCCAGCCTGCTAGCCAGCCGCCAGCCACCAGCCGCCAACAGCCAGCCGCCAGCTGCCGCCCGCCGCTTTCCGCCAGCTGCCGCCAGCTGCCGACCGCCGTTTGCCACCAGTGGCAGCCGCCAGCCGACAGCAGCCAGCCGCCAACCGCCAGCTGTCCAGCTGCCAGCTGCTAGTCACCAGCCGCCGGCTCCCGCTCACTCATCCTCGCTCCTCTCTCTCGTCTCACCAGCTCATCTCTTAGCTGTCTACCGCCATGGCGACCCCGCCTGCCTCTGTCCTTCGCCTGGACGCAAAGGGCCGCACACTTGGCTTCTCTGCCTGGCTGGTCGCCCTCCGCCGCCAGCTCAAGTCCATTTGTCAGGACGGCCAGGCCCTGGTGGGCCACACTTCGGGTACGTTGCTAGCCCCGCCAGAGCCCGCTCCTCTTGCAGCTAACACGATGTCCGCGCAGCGGGCGGCGTACGAGACTGCTCTGGCCGCCTACTCTGTCTGGGAGTCCCGCGACGCAGCTGCGCAGCTGGTAGTCATTAGGGCCCTTCCCTCGGACGAGCAGACCCACTTTAAGACCCTAGAGACCCTAGCTAAGGAAATCTAGGATGCAGTTGTCGCTCGCTACTCTATCCAGTCCTCTAATAACCTTGGTGGTCTCTTGCTGCCATTTCTTTTCCCCGACCTTGCCTCTTTCTCCACTGTCGCGGACCTAGTCGCGCACTTGAACTCCCTTGAGGCTCGCTGGCGTGCAGCCTACCCCGAGGACCAGTGCACCACCCACTTCCCGCCCATCTACATGACCTTGTACCTCCTTGCCACCCGCCTCCCTGACCGTCTCGCCCCTGCATGAGAAGCTCTCCTGGCTCGGCCCCTCACTACCCTGACTGTCGCTGAGTTCTCCACAGCTGTGACTATGGTTGAGTCGCGCCTCCGTGCCATCGCTGACGCCACAGGGACGGTGGCGGTCCCCATCTTTCAGGGCTGCTCTGCCCCCTGAGACAGCTGCAGCGCTTACCATGCCCAGTCGCTCCTCGGGTCACAGGGGCAAGGGCAAGAGGGGCAAGGGTCGTGGATCGTCGGCAGCGGCGGGTGGAGGGGGTGCTGGGGCGGACGGAGAGGTGGGTCAGGTGGCTTCGGGGGTTGCGCAGCAGTAGCAGCAGCAGCAACAGCAGCAACAGCAACCGCAGCAGCAGCGGCGGTCGCAGCAGCAGCAGCAACTACTGTGGGGACCGACGGGCCCTTAGAGTAGTGGTCGTGGTGGGGGCCGTGGAGGTTGGGCCCCGGGGCAGCCGGTGCCCTAGGGTTCGTGTAGCTCCACTGTCGGCCAGGGTGTTGGCGGCCCTGGTGGCCTTGTGACCTGTATGTACCAGCTACTGACCAGCCCCCAGGCCGGCCAGGTCTGCGGGCGTACGAGTCACGCCGCCGTTCGATGCTACCGCCGTCTCGATGACCTGTACCGTCGTCAGTTTGGACCTCAGGCAGCCCTTCCGTAGTGGCCTGTTCTTGTCCGTCGCAGCATCCCGGTGTTTGAGCTAGAGATGACTCAGATTGCTTCTGCTATGTATTATGTGTATTTTGATGATTATAGTGATGCCCTTAGCTATTTTGTTACATACACCAGAGGCGAGACTAGTAGTGCAGCCCTGGATTACTGTTGCTTGTTAGGCTCTACCCCCTACCCAGGCTAGGGGGTGTGTGTCAACTTATACATATGATGTTATGTAGAAGTTATAGGCTAGATAGGTTTATGTTCTTAGTGGGTACAACCCCAACACTATATCTCTCTTGTTCTCCCTTGTCTCAACTATTTTAACATTCTAACATGGTATCATGCGTAGGTTAGGTCCCCCCCCACCCGCTTCCACCTTGCGCCCTAGCCTATCGCGCCTCGCCGTCCCCTAGCTCGCCCGCCGACCCCTAGAGTGCCCGCCATCCCCTCGCGCCGTAGCCGGCCCCTAGCGTGCCTGTCGGCCCCTCGCGCCCTAGCCGGCCCCTTACCCTCTAGCCGGCCCCCTTCGCGACCAGCCGGCCCGCCCCCCTCGCGCCGTCGCCAGCCCCTCGTGCCTTCGCTAGCCCCTCGCGCTTTCGCTGGCCCCTCGCGCCTTTGCTGGCCCCTCGCGCCCTAGCTGGCCCCTCGCGTCGTCGCCCGCCCCTAGCGCCCAGCCGGCCCGCCCCTCGTGCCCTAGCTGGCCCCTCATGCTTCACCGTCCCCTCGCGCCTAGCTGGCCCCTCGCGCCTTCGCTGCCCCCTCGCGCCCTAGCTGGCCCCTCGTGCCGTCGCTGGCCCCTCGCGCCTGACCGGCCCCTCGTGCCCTAGCTGGCCCCTCATGCCTCACCGGCCCCTCGCGCCCTAGCTGGCCCCTCGCGCCCTAGCTGGCCCCTCGCGCCTTGCCGGCCCCTCGCGCCTAGCCGGCCCCTTGTGCCTAGTCGGCCCCTTGCACCAAGCCGGCCCCTACCACCTAGCCGGCCCCTACCACCTAGCCGGCCCCTACCACCTAGCCAGCCCCTCTCCTGCGCACCTCTGGCACCACGCGCCCTGTCGGCCCGTCTCCACACACTGGCCCCTTGTGCGCCTCGACTTGCGCGCCGTCCTCGGCCTTCCTTCCTGTTCAGTGCCGCTGAGTCCCTGTGCCGCTGTGTCCCTATGCCGCTGTGCCGCTGTGTCCCGGTGCCGCTATGGTTGAGCGATGGCGGACGCCATGCTCCGTCTGGACGCAGAGGGGCACGCGATCGACTTCGCCGCTTGGCTTGTCGATCTCCGCCGGCACCTGACAGGCCAGCGCCAGGATGGGCACTCCCTATGTCATAGGATCGAATGTGTCGAGAAAAGCTTGCACAATCGATCGATACAAGGCGCTTATATACTTCCGAAGTACATCAGGTAACCAGTTTTATCCTATCCCAAGGGAATAGACCATTCTAGAAAATAGAATCACCCAGCGTATAGCCACGCGAGGCTATTGGCTTCAAGGGATTACGGCAAGATTACGCTAGATATAGCGTACCAATACATCCCGAGCCTGGTCGGTGATATAATGATAATAACAGGATAAACCAAAGGTTTCAGGAATATGAATCCCAATGGCATGAGATAAAGACCAAATGAATCAGGATAAAAAAGAGGAATGAAATGGAAAGGAGAAAGGAATGGAACGGGGTCGTACTCTCACACTTCCCCCCTCAAAACTGGGTGGTAGACATAACACCCTGCTTGACAAGGTAGTCGCGAAGAGGACGACGAGCGTGATCCATCTCGAATTCAGAGACCCAACTATCCTCTGAAGGATCATAACCCTTCCGGCGGATGAGAAGCTCCACGGTGCCATTCCATCGACGGCAGTGAGCAAGCACGGTCTCGACCTCGTACTCGGGTTCATCATGGACGAGGACGGGCGGCGGCGGCGGCTGGCGTCCAGAGAAGACCTTGTTGGGATCTTGGTAGGGCTTCAAGATTTGGACATGGAAAGCGTTGTGAATCTTCCAGGTAGCTAGCAGGCGTAAGCGGAAGGTAACAGGAGTGACCTGTGCTTCAACGAGAAAAGGCCCGCAGAAGCGAGGTCGCAGTTTGGATGGGAGATGGCCGATGTCAAGATTGCGCGTGTCGAGTAGTACTCGGTCTCCCACGGTGATGGTGTGGTCTGTGCGGTGGCGATCGGCCTGGCGCTTCTATTGCTGCTGAATGTCGAGAAGGCGCTTGTGGGTCCAATCCCAAAGTTTGTGCATGGTCGTGATGAAATCATGAGCGGGTTGGACTGTGGCTAGTATGTTTGGCTGTTGAGGTGTGAGTGGGTGGCGTCCGTAACAGAGGAAGAACGACGTCTTTCCAGTGGCAGCGTGAGTAGCATTGTTGTAGGCAAACTCCAGGACGGGCAGATGCAAGTCCCATTTGAAGATGTCGTCCTTGCAGGCTGCGCGGAGGAGTTGCTCCACAATTTGGTTGAGGCGCTCGGTCTGTCCATCTATCTGCGGATGGTAGGCGGATGACATTGCGAGTTTGGTCCCGAGCAGAGACACTAGTTCTTTCCAGAATTTACTGGTGAACTTAGGGTCTCGGTCGGAGATGAGTGTGGTCGGAATGCCATGTTGTGAGATGATGTAGCGAACAAAGAGATGATGACACACAAAAGAGTTGTGCTGTGGTGTGTGTGCCAACATTGGAGGGTAATTTGGTACCCAGATTTTTCTTGATCCTTTCCGGTACGCGATGTCGTTTGTCCCACTGTAGCAGATGTCACTTTTCTGCCAAGGGAATTTCGGGGTCGATGGTGTACCCGTGTGTGAAGAGTCCCTTGAGGAGTGGATTCATCGCTTCAACTTGGATGGCGGCAACGTGTGCAGGTCGGCTAAGCGCATCTTCTTTGTTTTTGTGGCCGGTCTTGTACACGATGTCGTAGTGGAAGTGTGTCTCGAGGAAGTCAATCCACCGGACCTGCCGCCTGGAGAGGCTTGGTTGCGTCTTCAAACATTTTAGGCTGCAATGGTCGGTGTAGACTGTCGTCTTGCGTTCTTCGAGATAGCATCTCCACGTTTTGAAGGCGATGATGATAGCAAGGGCCTCTTTGTTGTGTATCGGGTAGTTGAGTTCTGCTCCGTGTAATTTTTGCTGAGGTAGTAAATTGGTTGCAGGCTATTCCCCTGGTCTTGCATCAAGACTGCTCCCACTGCCTGGTCGCTGGCGTCAGCTTCGATGACGTAGTCGCGTTCGGGGTCCGGCAAGATGAGTGCGGGTGCGGACGTGAGTGCTTGTTTCAGCTGCTCCATGGTTTCCTGGTGTTGTAGCTCCCATTTATATGGCGTGTTCTTCTTTAGCAGATTCGTGAGTGGCGCGGCGATCTTCGCGTATTGTGGCACAAACCTGTTGTAGTAGTTAGCAAAGCCAAGGAACTGCTGTAACTCCTTCACATTCTCGGGTGTCTTCCACGTACGCACGGCTTCGATTTTCTTGGGGTCGACGTGAACTCCTTGAGCGCTTACGATATGTCAGAGGAATTGGTCTTTCTCGAGGGCAAAGTCGCTCTTGGATAGTTTGACGTAGAATCGTTCTCGTCGAAGATTTTCAAAGACGCGTCGTAGGTGCTCGACATGTTGTTGCATGTCGCGCGAGTAGATGAGGATGTCGTCCAGGTACACCACCACGCATTCGTTCAAGAGTGGGCGTAGGATATGATTCATTTCTGCTTGGAACATTGCAGGTGCGTTGGTGAGTCTGAACAGCATTACCAGATACTCGTACGATCCGTACCGGGTTCGGAAGGCAGTTTGCTGAACGGAATTGTCCGCCATTCTTATCTGCCAGTATCCGGACCGCAGATCCAGTTTTGAAAATACCGTGGCTCCCTAACGCTGGTCAAGCACGTCATCGATTCATGGAATCGGGTATTTGTTCCTGATGGTCTGCATGTTGAGAGCTCGGTAGTCGATGCACATGCGCAGGCTTCTGTTCGGTTTCAGTGTGAAGAGTACTTGGGCACCGTATGGCGAAGTGGATGGTCGGATGAGTCCTTTGGCGAGGAGATACTCAATCTGTTTCTTCATGTCGGCTAGTTCTGTGGGGCTTAGCCGATATGGTGCTCGGAAGGTCAGTTTCGAACCTGGTTCCTCCACGAACCTAGTTCGGTATGGCGGTAGCTCGTCCGGGAGGTCGTCGGGAAGAATGTCTTGGAACTCCTTCAGTATTTCCTTGATTTCTCTAGGAGGTTCCGAGGTCTTCTCCTCGTCCCTTTCCATGTATCTTGCTAACGCCAGGAACCCGGTCTTGGTTTGTTTCACGTCCTTCTCGAATCTGGAGAGTGTCTCCACTAGGATATCTCCTGTATTGTCCCAGTTGGGTAGCTGGACTCTCCTTCATTTGTTGTAGATGCTTGCGGTGCGGTTTACCCAGTTGATCTCGGGGTTGAATTTCTTGACGAAGTCTCGTCCGAAGATCAAGTCAAGCCCTTTTATGTTGGTGATGGGGAGAGCAGGTTTCCAGCGCAGTGGACCGATTTCTAGGTGTAGCACTGCTTCGCCGTACACTGGTAACTTGCTGCCGTCCCACCATCGTTGCAGAAAACGCTGATGGCTTGCACTCTTCTCGAAGTCGGTCGATGGTTGCCTTGTCACATACGGTGTGCGATGCTCCGCTGTCCACGAGTGCTTGGAGGCGTCGTCCTTTGCAGATGATCTCGAGCATGAGGGGCAGGCATTGCTCGGAGTACCCAAAGATAGTTTCATTGATTGGGTCATTGGGTACATCCCAATATTCGTTGCTTCCTACTCCTGAGCTGGCAGCTGGCCGAGGCTGCTTGGAGAATGGCTCTTCTCTAGGGCCCAGAGTTTCCGTGACGACTGTTCGTGTCGTTGACGAAGTTGCCGAGTTGGATGCATCCGAAGAAGGAGTTCGGGGTTTTTTCAGCTTCTTGTAGACCCCCAGCTTCCTCTTGAGCTACTTCAGCTCCACCGACGTCTTCCCTGGGGAACAGGTAGTCGGGAGAGGACGTTGACTCCATGGAAAGTCGGCTTCTTTCCACACTCCTTAATTTGGTCCCCAAGTTCTCCGGTACCGGTACGATCTCCACATTTTTCTGCTTCTTCTGAAGTCCCTCCCGAATTTTCTCCAAGGCTCTAGCCCCTCGAGAATTACAAGTTTTCATTGAAGCATCTTTATAAGATAAATTTAACGAATCCTTATAATTTATTGGGTCTTCAAGGAGTTTCCCCATCTTGGCACAGTCCTTTTTCGCGGAGTTAGATTTTTTCTCGACGATTCCTCTGGCAATGACTGGTCGTGGGGTGGAGATTTTTCCCCATCATTTTCTCCTGTTCGCGTTCGAATCAGCTGCGTCGAAGTTGATTTTTCCGGAAGTCCGCGGCCGCTTTCGGATCTTTTCTTTTTCGCCAGCTGGATCCGCAATCACTGGCGAGCCCCGTTTTTTTGCTTCTCATTGGCCGAAGGATTTCCGCCACTGTTGTGTGCCCAATACTCAGCGCATGCGGCTTTCATTTTGTTGCAGTCGAAGATTCGATGACCCGGCACCCCGCAGAAATCACACGTGAAGTTGGGTGTTTTTCGGACGTGGCCACCCGTCGAACCTGTCGACTTCCATCGGGTCGGCGAACGTGGGGTGAGCCGAGCGGTCGCCCTGTCGCGTACTGCCGACGTGCGTCCGTCGTGTCCCAGTGTTGACCATGTCGAAGCGTTCCGCGTCTGATACGACGTCACTGTAGCTCGCGTAGTTTGTGGCCGCCACTTGTCGTTTGACTTCGGTCTTCAGCCCGGCGAGGTACGACTGTACTTTTTCCCCCTTCGGTCAGGTCGGGAATGCGGTTATAAAATTCTTCCATCTGCTGCGTGTACTGCGCTACACTCCCGAATTGTCGATGGCGATGAATATTTTCCCAGGGCAAGGAAACCCGAATTTATCGGCTCGAAACGTTTCAGCAGGTCGGTGCGGAACTGCTGCCACGTGGCTTCGCCGTGGATGAAGGTGTTGTTACGGCCGATCCACTCGAGTGCCGGCCCTCGCATCAGTGTCGTTGCGAGTCGTACGCGTTGCCCGTCCCAGACTGGCGAGCTCCATTCGACGGCTGCGAAGTAGATCTCCATGCCGGCGATCCATCTGCGGATGTCGGAATTTCGATCGCTCGGATCAAACGGCTCAGGTGGCGCGGTTTCGGAGCCTCGAGAAATTGTTGCGACTGCTGCGTCGTCGCCGTTGTCGTTTCATGTTGCGCGCCGGAGAGTCGAGTTACTCGCTCAAACTCTTGTCGCCAAGCTTCGCGGTCGGGTCGCATCTCCTCCTGTAGGGCGGTGATGCTTGCGAAGAGCTGCTGGGTAACTTCTGCGTTTTCGAAGTTCGCCATCCTGTTCAAAAACAGGCGCGGAGGGGGTAATTCGAAAAAACGCGAAGCTGGTGCTTACCAGAATCGGCGTCGAATTGGTCGCCCCTGGCGGTTTTTCGAGGCAGGAGTCCCGCTGCTGGTGCTTAGCTGAGCGCGACCGATTGAGAAAAGCACTGATTACCAAGTGTCACATGATCGAATGTGTCGAGAAAAGGTTGCACTATCAATTTGATACAAGGCGCTTTTATACTTCCAAAGTACATCAGGTAATTAGGTTTATTCTGTCCAAAGGGAATAGACCCTTCTAGAATATAGAATCACCCTGCGTATAGCCACGCGAGACTATTGGCTTTAAGGGATTACGGCAGGATTACGCTAGATGCTGTTGTTGACTGCTACTCCACGCTGCCTCCGCCTCAGTTGGCCGCATGATCCTCCCCATGCTCTTCCCGATCTCTCTGCTTTCCCCACTGTTGCTGATCTTGCCACTCACCTCCGTGCACTAGAGACTAGCTACCGTGCCGCTAGCACTACTGCCCAGCTCACTGCCTTCCCCCCACCGTTCTGCGCTACGTTGTACCTTATTGCCATGCACCTCTTTGACCGTCTAGCCACTGCCCGCGACCACTTCCTTAGCCAGCACCCAGATGACTTCACCCTGACCGCCTTTGTCGCTGCCCTTTCCTCTATAGAGACTCGCCCAGCGCACTATCGCTCAGTCGAGCGGTGTTGCGGCAGTCTTTATCTTTCAGGGCTATGCTCCTCCCAGTGCACGTACGCGGACGTCTCCGATGCGGTCGCTACGGCTACTCCTACTCCTGAGACCGCAGCGGCGGCCTTCCTGCAGCAGTAGCACCAGCGTCGGGGCCGTCGTGGCCCTAAGGGAGGGCGTGGTGGGGGTGGTGGCAGCGACAGTGGTTCTGACGAGGGGGTTGGGCAGGTGTCCAGGAGCTATAGCAACCGCAGAAGTTGCAGTAGCAGCCACCGCAGTAGTAGCAAAAGCAGCAGCAGCCGTGGGCCCGCCTCCCCCCAGGGTGGCCGGGAGCCCCTGGAGGTGGTGGCCGAGGTGGCGGTCCTCGCAGCTCGGCGTCTACCGGCAGTTTCGGTGCAGCCGGCTGCCAGTACCAGCTCCGAACCGGGCCCCTCCGTGGCACTGTGTGTCACCGCCCGCACACGACTGCCTGATGCTTCCGCCGCCTCGACGACCTCTTTCGTCGCCGCTGCGGCCCTGCTCCGGACTTCCCTGACTGGCCCAGCCTGTTGCGCCACGGTGTGCCTGTTTTTGACTTAGACATGGATCCGATTAGTTCCGCCTAGCATTCTCTGTATGCTGACGCTGTTGGTGCAACCCTATGGCTTGCACTCGGCTTGTCGTCCTTGTTTGTGTATGTGCATGCATGGCATGGAATGAATTGTGAGTCTATGTCATTGCTATCTAGTGCTTGTGTGTGTGTTTGAATGGTGTATCACAATGTGGTTTGTGTCGGTCAAGACATTAGCGAGTTTTTACAACTCGCATGTCAAGTCGTCGTTTGCGTGTCGCATGTGTTTTTTCTATTTTGTCGAGTATGAAGTGTCCATCGCATCGCATGTATGTGCAGCAAGCCCCCATCAACTCAAGAAGAATATATCATGCAGAACCAAGACCAAGAGCTCAAGATTTCAAGCCCAAGGGACACGGATAAATATTAAATAGTGAAAATAGTAACGCTACTTCGTGTAGTGTTACATTTCACTTGGTGTAGCCCCTTGGAGGGTTTCTTTCGAGACTCTTCATGGTTGGGAACTCTGTGGTGGTGTAACACCAACCTGGACCTTGGCTCTTGGGGTATGTAGAGGCTGGGAACCATCTCCATCTCGATCTCTTCTTGCTAAGTTTGTACTCCTAAGACTAAAGTGGTTACTGTACCTCTTGCCAGTCAAACCGCCATAGCGTCGTCAAATCTTCATGTAATTTTATGATTCAACTTGCTGCTGATAGGCGACAGCAACGCGCTTCAGATCCAATTTACAGATCACCGTTTGAGGCACATATCAGATGGGCATTAACATTTGAAGCTGTCTGACGGAATTCTGACTGTGCACAATTTCTTTCATTTTAGGCACATCTGAGCCTATTGTGATTATTAAAAGCATTTCATGACATGGAACCGATTAGTTCCGCCTAGCATTCTCTGTATGCTGACGCTTCTAGTGTGTCCGGAACTTATTACCCTGTATTCTCTAGCTTAGGCGTCGCACCTATGTGTAGTACGGACTCCCGTGCTGCGTCAGGCGTAAGACCGTTTGCTTTGTCTAGCCTAGGCTCCACACTCGCTCCTCCTTCGTCTACTGCTACTCCTTCGCTGTCCTTTACACTTGACTCCGGTGCGTCTGCCTGCTTCTTCTGCGACCACGCCACACTCATGCCGCTTGCCACGCCTGCCAATGTCGCACTTGCTGACCCCTCGTCCGGTCCTGTCGTTGCTCGCAGCTACACTACCCTCCCCTATCTAGCAGTCCCCTCGCTCTCCCTTACAGGCCTCCACATCCCCTCGTTCTCTCGGAACTTAGTTGGTTTCGGTTGTCTTCAAGACCTCAGCGTCACCACTACGTTCCCGGGTAACGAGCGGTACGCCGTCTGTATCGAGGCTGCCTTTGGTTCCCCCCATGCGACGTTCCCCCGGGACCCGGTATTTGGCCTCTTTACGCTGGACACTGCTTCCCCCCCGGGTGGACCGTCCCTCCCGGGTCTTGCGTCTACCCAGGTCGTCGTTGCGTGCTCGTGTCGATCGCTCACTCACCCGTTGCTTCTGTGGCACCACCGCCTAGTCACCACGCACTCCCGCGTCTGCGTCACATGTCCCAGCACGGTCTTGTCGTAGGTCTTCCAACGTCGCTTCCTGCCCTCCCTCCCTTGCCTGCGCCGTCGTGCA